AATATAATATGGAAATGAGTAACAAAAATGTGCTATATTCCACAATGGTTCCATCATATTACACTATGGGTAGGCAAACTAAGGCCTGGGGACCGGATCAGGCCCAATCGCCTTCTAAATCCGGCCTGTGGACGGTCCAGGAATCAGCACGTTATTACATGAGTAGAACGTGTCCTTTTATTTAAAATGCATCTCTGGGTTATTTGTGGGGCATTTATTTTTTCAAAATATAGTTGGTCCCCCCCCAAGATCTGAGGGGCAGTGGACCGGCCCCCTGCTGAAAATGTTTGCTGACCCCTGTATTACATGATAGTTGTAGAAGAGGCTTTTACATTGTGTGCAAGCTCAAATATAGTGTGGCAATTGCAATGTGTTGTGAAAATGGAGCAAACTGTCGTGTCAATGCTGCCTACATGCCTCTCTGTGTCCCAGAACTGAAGGGCGCGCGTGCACACACACACACACACGTTTTCAGCCAAAGAGCTTGACCATTTTCCTCAGCGACGACAAAGTAGGCTTTATACTTCACCGGAAAATGGCAGAGCTTTCCTCCTGACTCACACCAGCCCTCCTCTTCCTTCCTGCAGCATCCGGGTTTTCCCAAAGGAGCCAAATTCCTAAGCAGGTGTAGGCCAAGGTGGTCCAGCAGCATACCTTAGATGGATTATCTGTGATTTCCACACGCCCCTTGGGCAACTAGGATGCAACACAGGTTCCTCTGGTTCTCAGGTGCTTCTATCACTTCCCTCTCCCACCTTGACTCCTACACAGAGGAAGGGAAGCAGGAATATTCCCTCCCCAGTCCATTTCACATTCAGAACAAGTGTATTTGGCAAGTGTATTTTTGTCGTTTAGTCGTGTCCGACTCTTTGTGACCCCATGGACCAGAACACGCCAGGCACTCCTGTCTTCCACTGCCTCCCACAGTTTGGTCAAACTCATGCTGGTAGCTTCGAGAACACTGTCCAACCATCTTGTCCTCTCTTGTCCCCTTCTCCTTGTGCCCTCCATCTTTCCCAACATCAGGGTCTTTTCCAGGGAGTCTTCTCTTCTCATGAGTTGGCCAAAGTATTGGAGCCTCAGCTTCAGGATCTGTCCTTCCAGTGAGCACTCGGGGCTGACTTCCCTAAGAATGTTTAGGCCCAATCTTCTTGCAGTCCATGAGACTCCCAAGAGTCTCCTCCAGCACCACAATTCAAAAGCATCAACTCTTTGGAGTAATAGTCCCTTATTGGAGTAATAGTCCCTTATTTCTCACAAGATACCTGAACATCTCTAACAACTAAAGTGTAGGTGGGTTTCCACAAGGCAAGACACAATGATAACAACAAGAACCTTGACTGAAGTACGTAACTGAACAACAGGTACAAAGCAACTGCTTATATACATTTCTGAGGGCCTGGACCACTCCCAGCGTGATTGGCTGTCTAAACTTCCAAGCTGCGAATCATGACTCAGAGTTTAAGGGCCAATGGCAGAGGTCCAAATCCTGAAGTGTTCTGTGATTGGACATCATGTAACGAATCAGAACACAGGAGCTCAGAATCCTTAGTCCAGACCCCAGCTCAAGCAACACTGACCACTGAATACATAACACAACGATTTCTCAGATGTCTACCTGCACAGCAACTTGCCTGCCTCTTTTTTGGAACTGCTACACTGACATGGGCAGGAGACATATAATCAGAAAACATAAGGTAAAGGTAAAGGTACCCCTGCCTGTACGGGCCAGTCTTGCCAGACTCTAGGGTTGTGCGCCCATCTCACTCTATAGGCCGGGGGGCCAGCGCTGTCCGCAGACACTTCCGGGTCACGTGGCCAGCGTGACAAGCTGCATCTGGCGAGCCAGCGCAGCACACGGAACACCGTTTACCTTCCCGCCAGTAAGCGGTCCCTATTTATCTACTTGCACCCGGGGGTGCTTTCGAACTGCTAGGTTGGCAGGCGCTGGGACCGAGCAGCGGGAGCGCACCCCGCTGCGGGGATTCGAACTGCCGACCTTTCGATCGGCAAGTCCTAGGCACTGAGGCTTTAACCCACAGCGCCACCCGCGTCCCTGATCAGAAAACATGGAGAAAAGTAAAAACACTTGGGTTTGCCCAGACAACTGCCTCATTCCCCCAGGAAAAGCATTAAGCAAAAGGTTCGCTCAACAAAAAGTTGAGATCTATTGCGGCATGAGCAGGCAAATCCAGCCGCCCTGTTTGCATGTGTGAAAACTCCAAATTGGAATGGCAAGCTGAGCTAAGGTGTAAATTTCAAATGTCATGAAAATATAAGAAGAGCCTGTTGGATCAAGCCAATGGGATTTTTGTGAGTGTGCTTTTGCATTTTTTTAAAGAGAGTGTTTCCAGTGTCATTTTTAAAAATAGATTCTCTTCTTTAACTGGTGTTTTATGTTCCATATCTTTTAATTGCGTGTTTTACGCCTGTTTTAATTTATGTCCTGAGTCACCTTGGGTCCTGTCCTGGGAGCAAGGAAGGATATAAATAAAACAAGAAACTAAATAACTTGCTGTAACACTTGGACAATGAAAGGGAAAAGTCTGCGCTTACTAGAGAGGGTCATATAAGTTACTGACTCTTTGAGAGGAACTTTCAGCTAAGCTTGTGAAAGCTTGCCATCTTAGAGTACCCAAAAATTGTCATTACGGAGGCAGAGAACTCATTCAGCATCCATTGCATATAACACCAGTTATATTATATAACACCATTCAGCAAGGCATTGCATATAACACCAGTTTTTCCTCTCTATCTCTTTTGCAAGGATGAGGTTGGGCCAAATTAAGGAGAGGAAGTGTTTGGCTCTGTGCTTCAGGTCTCCCCATGTCGCTAAGCATGTTCCGCCTTTGAGCAGATGATGATAATAATAATAATAATAATAATAATAATAATAATAATAATAATAATAATAATAAATTTATACCCCGACCATCTGGCTGGGTTTCCCCAGCCACTCTGGGCAGCTTCCAACAGAATATTAAAATACAACCATCAATTAAACATTAGAAGCTTCCCTAAACAGGGCTGTCTTCAGATGTCTTCTAAAAGTCTGGTAGTTGTTTTCCTCTTTGACATCTGCTGGGAGGGCGTTCCACAGGGCAGGTGCCACCACCGAGAAGGCCCTCTGCCTGGCTCCCTGTAACTTGGCTTCTCGCAGTGAGGGAACCGCCAGAAGGCCCTCGGCACTGGATTACTTGCAACACATATTTAGGGCACTCTTATGCCGCTGTAACAGTCATTAATTATTTTACTGGGAATTGTAGCTCTGTGAGGGTTAAACTATAGTTCCCAGGATTCTTTGAGGGGACGTGCTTTAGATGTACGTTGCGGATGTGACCTACATATCTTTAGCAGTGGCAGAAAGCTTTGCGAACAAAAACAAACGAGTGGCCGAAATTTCCCACAGCCCAAAGCCACAGGTGAAAAAACGTGCTCTGCATTTGCAGAAGTGAAGAACGATACACTCCAGGACCCAAGGCAAGCTGAAAATTGTCTGTCTCCTTCTCAAAACATATGATTTATCACCAACCCATCTCCCTTCTCGGGGCTTTGTCAGCATTTCCCAGCACATCTCACTTGCTCAGACTGGAAGCAACGTGTCAGACAGATTCTTCTGCACTTCAGAGGTAGGTACACCTTCTGCAAATATAGCCGAGCATGAAATATTCAGGAACCAGCCCCATAAAAATTGCATTAGTAAAGTCTGAATTTACTCCCTTTGATCTGCTTGTGCTGCCTATAGGTTCCATTTCTTTTTGTCTAAAAACTGGGGATGAGGCTCTGAGTCAATATTCCACTGCACACATAACATTATTTGCTCTGTTAAGGCACAGAGAAAGGCTAGATTAGCATGGCAGCGAAAGGAGTGTCTTCCTCATTCTGGGAAGATCCTCAGTGCTTTAGAGCAACTTGGCATCCCCCAGACGTTTTGAACTTCAGCTCCCGTCCACAACATCCCAAGGGCTCCAGGTTGCACAAGGCTGCTTCAGAGCATTCAAAGCACAGTTCAAACACGCCATCGCCAATAAGCATGCTTCCAGAAGGAGCGGGCAACCTTAATTCTGTCAAGAGAGCCACACCCCCTTAGGCTTCATCAGCCAGGCACTGCAAACTGCCAATGGGCTACTGGCACAAAGGTGGAAATGTGATAAAATACCAACCAAAGATGAATGGCAAGAAAAACTTAGGGAATACACCAAAATGGCAAAACCGAAAGACAAAAAAGGACAAAAAAATCCTTTAAGAAAGACTGGGAACCATTTTCGGCCGACGTAAAGAATCAATGCAAAGAACTGGACTCATTAGCAGGTTTTGAACAATCATTTACAATTAGCAAAAAAAATAATTATATAATTTATAAGTTAAAGTATATTTTTTTAAAAAGGAGTGAAAAAAGGAAATATGCAGGAAATGATATTATTTTGAAATAAACCAGAGGAGGCGGTTGAGGGAAGTCCGAGGGGAATGGGGAAATTTTGGAATTGTGAATCATGTTATTTGTTATGATGCAATATTGAAAAAAATGGAAAACTTAATAAAAATGATTTTTTAAAAAAGAGACCAAACTGTTCTTAATTTTCCTCGCAGAGGACTTGTTCCAGGCCCCAGATCCACCCCAAGGCATGAGAGACGGCAGGACTGAAAGGATTGCGCACCCTCTCCTTTCCTAGTGCATCTACATTCCATCTTCAGTTCCCCCCTTTTGAATCTCCTCTTTAAAATAAAAAAAACAGCGCCAGGACTCAGATGTGCCCTTCAAACTCGCTCTGTAGCTTGAGCTTGTTAAAGGAGATCTTTGCTCCCATCCAGGTACCTCCTGCTGTTATTCCGACAAGGATGCTTAAGCTATGTGAACCCCGGGCAATTATGACATCCTTACGTTCTGCTCAGTGGCCACAGGAGACTCTTGACTGCAGCAACTAGAGGCTAATGGTTTGTTATGTGTAAGCTCTAAAAATATAACGGGGAGGTAAAGGGGGGAATGGTATTCCTCTTACCTTCAGTAAAGCTTCCTGAGAGAGTTATTGCTACAAACACTTTCCCTTCTGGTTCCAGGTCCACCTGTAAAAGAAGGAGAATTTATCATCATTATCATCATCATCATCATCATTTTTAAATTAATTTATTGAATGCAAGCTGCCCAAAGGCAGGAACAGTCCCCTACTATAATGCTAAAAGATATCTATTTATTGCATTTCACTTTATACACTACTTTTCCCAAGTGCGTTCAGAGTAGTGCATATGGTTCTTTTCACTCCCAATTTATTGGTTTATTTCCAATATTTGTAGCCTGCTTTCCCCCACACTGTGAAAATCTCAACCATCACATTATAGGAACGGACTAGACCGTCGCTTTCAGCTCCCTGCCACCAGTTAAGATCAGGGCTTTTGTTTTTCCAGACCAAGTTCAGTGCCAATTGGAGGGTGGACAAATCAATCCATTTCAGTTTCTCTTGTTTTCCAAGTTGACTCAGCGGAAATTGTCTGCGTTTCTCCCAATAAGTAGATTTTTCTACGCAATTTTGCATCCTGTACACTTTTTTGCAACGAATTTTGCACGCTTTCATGACTATACAAGTATTTTCGAACATATTTTGGCATAGAGAGACCCAGCACAAAATTCAGAGAAGAGGGGGGGGGAATCAAGAGAGCAGCATTTCTGTTCATGTATGGCGCTGTGGTTTAAACCACAGAGCCTAGGACTTGCCAATCAGAAGGTCGGCGGTTCGAATCCCTGCAACGGGGTGAGCTCCCGTTGCTTGATGTCTGCTCCTGCCAACCTAGCAGTTTGAAAGCACGTCAAAGTGCAAGTAGATAAATAGGTACCACTCCGGCGGGAAGGTAAACGGCGTTTCCGTGCACTGCTCTGGTTCACCAGAAGCGGCTTAGTCATGCTGGCCACATGACCTGGAAGCTCCTTTGGCCAATAAAGTGAGATGAGCGCCGCACCCCAGAGTCGTTCACGACTGGACCTAATGGTCAGGGGTCCCTTTACCTTTACTGTTTATTTCAGGAAGTGCCCTAGCTTAACAGAGTCTGTAACTAAGGCTGCATGCGCAACATACATTACAACTAAATATCAGGGAGAACCTTCTGGCAGTAAGAGCTGTTCAACAGTGGAATGGTCTCCTTTGGGAGGCGGTGGACTCTCCTTCCTTGGAGATTTATAAGCACTGGTTGGATGGCCATCTGCCTGGGCATGGATGGTGCTATTTTGGCTACATAAGCCAGTTAACACTCACAGCCTGAACACTAGAAACAGAGGGAATAATGATGGGCAATAGCTGTACAGCAGGTGTCTAATAGGCACTGCTTTGAAGCTCAAAAAATTCTGAATTTGGCTGGGTGAACTAAAGGAGGATCAGGTTCACCTTTCAACAATTTCTGGTCATTTTCACAGTCATTTCCTCCTTACTTGCACCCCAGCAGGGCCCCCAGACTCATAGCTTTCACTTTAAACAAAGGAACAAAGCAAACAAGCAAATAAATAAAAGGTCATCTATAAAGGAAGTTAGAAAGTAAAGCGTGGAGGCAACCTTCTAACACCTATTAGGCAGCTTGGGAGGTGCTGCTTTTGCTAAGGATGCTTAGTCACTAAATCACTGTTGCTAAGCAACAGAAGGCAGGAATGTGAGGCATTTCCTGTATCTTCCCTGAGGAAGAGAGTTGCTCTCTTCCAAAAGGAACAGCTTGCCACAAGAAGCACAGGAAAAAAGCAAATGACACCTGTGTGGATGGCCCAAAGCAGGTTAACCCTTTCCTAGCATGGAAATACGATTATGGTGAAGCTTCACCTGCTGATATTCTGCCTGTCATACACTGTATTACTTGTTTGTGGTCTGTGGTCCCTGATTTACTTTCTGAAACTGGCACAGCAGTTTGTAACAATCTGAATCCTGGGAGGGAGGTTGAGATTGCCAAGACTGAACTTTTAGAAACTAACTGGAACCAGAACGAATTCATTTTTGAACAGGATGAACTTGAACTACACCTAGTTCCTTTTTAAAATGGGCATTCCAAGCACTGTCCGACTCTTCGTGACCCCATGGACCAGAGCACGGCAGGCACCTCTGTCCTCCACTACTTCCCGCAGTTTGGTCAAACTCAAGCTGGTAACCTCGAAAACACTATCCAACCATCTCGTCCTCTGTCGCCCCCTTCTCCTTGTGCCCTCCATCTTTCCCCGCATCAGTGTCTTCTCCAGGGAGTCTTCTCTTCTCATGAGGTGGCCAAAGTACTGGAGCCTCAACTTCATGATCTGTCCTTCCAGTGAGCACTCAGGGCTGATTTCCTTAAGAATGGATGTGTTTGATCTTCTTGCAGTCCATGGGACTCTCAAGAGTCTTCTCCAGCACCATAATTCAAAAGCATCAATTCTTTGGCGATCAGCCTTCTTTATGGTCCAGCTCTCACTTCCATACATCACTACTGGGAAAGCACTAGTAACAGGCAATTAATTCTGTTTCCCACTCAACATCTTACATCAGGATTCTGCTGATGGAACTTGAGGTTCTAGGTTTTTTTAAAAAAATCGACCCTGCAAATCCAGTTTCTGCTCACCCCTGTTTTAAATAAAACCATTAGCTTATTTCCCCACAGGTCTTTACAGAGACTCCATTTGTTTTTAGCTGTTATTTGAGCAAAATACAGGTCAATAATCTGTGGAAATTTTTCTTTAGCTTTCTTTTTAGTGTGATTCTGCTGAGATCTGCAGAGTTCAAGTCACCCCATCGCGTGCTATCTATAAAAGGCTCCCGGTTAATTTGTTTTTTTAATCACACCTGATAAATGTAAACATAAGCCTCACGCTGCATGCAATATTCGCAACAGTTGAAAGATTCTGAAAATAAAGTTCTCTGGAGGGATGACTCAGCTTCTTCCCACAGCCTGTCCTCATGCCCTGACTTGCAAGCAGACCCAAAATAAGTGTTTCGTTTTAACAAGCCACAATTTTTAAAAAAAAATAACGAGGAAAAGCACCCAACCCAAACAACGCTGCCCATTTGCTCTGAAGTTTAGCATGAAGGGAAATATGCCATTTTTCTGGAGGCTCCTGTACAGAAGTTCAGCTGTCTCAGGAGATGGTTTAAGGTCAAACTTATAAGACAGGGGTTGGGGATATATATTTTTTTCTGACGAGGACTACACTCCCACAAGGGTGATCTGTTGGGGATGCATATCAGTGATGGACAGGGGCTGACACTAGTGGCATGTAGGGTGAGAGCAAAAGTGGCCAGAATTCTCTCTCATTCATAGAATCACAGAATTACAGAGTTGGAAGGGACCCTGAGGGTCAACTAGTCCAATCACCTTCAATGCAAGAATCTCAGCATGCTTAGCAAATGCAGAAGACAAGAAGACACTGGCCCCTTGCTGCCGGAATGCCCGGTTCAACGCCTTACAACAAGTCATGTGCTCTGTAATACTAAGCTGCACAGAGGAAGCTGCTTTGTTGTTATGTATTGAGTTGAATAGGATCCGAAATGCAGCAGTCTGATTGGTCCTAGAACAATAGGATTCAGAATGCAGCAGTCTGATTGGTCCTAGAACAATAGGATTCAGAATGCAGCAGTCTGATTGGTCCTAGAACAATGGGATTCAGAATGCAGCAGTCTGATTGGTCCTAGAACAATAGGATTCAGAATGCAGCAGTCTGATTCATCCTAGAACAATGGGATTCAGAATGCAGAAGTCTGATTGGTCCTAGAACAATAGGATGCAGAATGCAGCAGTCTGATTGGTTCTAGAACAATAGGATCCAGAATGCAGCAGTCTGATTCGTCCACAGGAGCCACCCAATCCAGCTCCAGGTGGAAGTGAATCTGCAACCTGATTGGCCTACAGGAGAATCCCGGAATTAGCCAATCACGTGGGGCCCATTGTGTAAATAATGCATATAAAGCAGACCTTCTGGGGGAACTTCCATTCCTCCTCACCACTGTGAGCTGAATAAAGAGCATGAAATCCACTCTCGACTCCGAGTATATTTCATTTGTCCTAACTTCAGCCCATTAATTTCAATGCATCTACTCTGGGTCAGTCCAGCATTGAATAAACCAGAGGTTTTCAACCTTTTTGAGTCCCTCGACCAAGTACACTCTTTCTGCAGCCCTCCTGTGGGGCTCAGGAGCCCAGTGATGCCACCCCCCCTTGCCTGCAGAGCTGGCAGCCCCTCACCCCTTTTCGAACACCCTCCCTTGTGGAGTGTTCCCTCAGCCTCTTCTCCTCTCCCCTCTCCTTGGGAGTCCTCCGGGCAGCCGCTGGTCTCTGAACTGTCCCAGAGAGAGGTGCCTCCTCACACTTCCCCTTCCTTTTTCTGCGTTCACACCACCTGCTACCTGATCCTGTCTGTCCATTCCCAACAGCAAGGGCTGGCGGACTGGCTGGCTGGGCTCCCTCGCCTGCTTGCTTGCTTGTTTACTCCGAGGCCGCCTCAGCTCCTGACACCCAGCACCCCCTGGCCAGCCCCAGAGGCACCATTCGCCTGGAGAGCTTGTAGCCAGGGCTGCTGCAACAAACGGCTCTGCAAGAATACTTAGAATTAGCCAAATCGACAGACATAATAAGACAAAAACCAAAAAGTGAAGTAAAAAAAGAATGGGAGTGCCTAAATGAATACCTCAAAAGGTTCAAGGACAAAAATCTGGCTGAGTCTGGAATAACCTTGTGAAGTGAAAGGACAAGAAATAGGGATTTATATCTAGATATTAGGATCGAGATAAGGAAGACAGGAAGACACAATGAGAGATAAAGGAGGTGCTGTGGGATTGGTGCAAGTCAATGTTTTTATTGTTGTTGTTTTAGTGTTTATAATATTAACTTGTAAGATATGGATGTGTTTTGGGGTTTTTTAGTTGTGGTTGCTTTTTTAGTTTTTCGAATGTTGGTTTTTGTGTGTTGTGTATTGTTATTTTTCGATATTTTTCGTGTTGTTGTTGTGTGGAAAATACTAATAAATTTTATTTAATTAAAAAAAAACAGCTGTGCAAGCCTTTGGGAGTCAGAGAAGCAAGAGGGCATCAGAGAAGGAAAGAGGGACAGAGGCCAGTGTTGGCCGCGGC